CTAAATTTCCCTTGGTATGATATTAAGGCCCAATTCGGCCTAGGACTTATACATGGCATTCTAACTTTTACGCCGCTGAAATTTATACTCCAACGGAGTCTCTTAAACTAATGTGGGCGTTGGACCCACATTAAATATTCGAAATTCTACAGACCTATCGTATTGGGCTCGTAGGTGCCCGTCGGGATAATTCGCTCGGTAAACCTCTACGTTCTTTAAAGAAATCATTTTTCCTTGAAAAATTCCTTTATGAATACTTTCATTAAAATGAGGTTTAATGTCATTGTATTTTACTAAAATTCTATCTCGGGTTCTTTTATGACGTTTTGTGGAAACCGACACTGTTTTAGTTTTGTCTCGTTAAAAACTGTGCAGTTTCTGAAATCTACGTTTTACTGTATCTTAGAGTCGGATTTCAAAATTTTGTTCTTCGCGACAATTTCTTGTCTCGTCGAGATCTAAAATTGTCGTTTTTGGTGAAAGTTTAAATTCGGCCTCTAAAGGCCTCGTTTGGCTGAAAACCGCAGATGCTGTTTTTCCTGAAACTGTTTTAGTAAAAAACTGTGCTGTTTCGGGAATCTGTGTTTTAGTACCTCTTAGGGTCGGATTTTGAAAATCTTTTCTTCGTGAAATTTCTTCCTCTCGTCGAAAACTAAAATTGTCACTTTTGTAAAAAATCAAAATTCAGCATTTAAGGGTCCCGTTTGGCTGAATTAGTGGCTGCCAGTTTTTTTTTTGAAATTGTGTTGGACAGATTGTCCGTTTTTGCAAAATGGCTTCAAACTTAGTTTTGAAGTTAAAATTAGGTTTAGTCATAGGAACCGAAAATGTTCAAAACATCCAGGGCTATAAGTTTAGGCTTTAAAACCTTGAAAAATCTCACTCTATGGCCCTCATTTTCGCGGTCAAAGTCACCGGAAATTTTTTCCTCTAATCCCGAAAATAAGCAACTTAAATCAAGCATAAACATACCACATCAAGCTAACCTCAAAACTCACAAAACCAACATAAAACTCACACACCCTTATTACAACTCATCTCCTCAAGAACCTCAAATTTACATCCACAAATCCAAGCTTAAAGTTGGCTAGAAATTAATGGAGAAGAGTTTGAGAGCTTACCCTTGAAGAACTATCTCTCTCCCTTGAAAACTTTGAACTCCTCTAAGATTTGTTATTGGCTTGGAACTAGAAAGTATAAGGAAATTTAAGAGGAATATTTCTACATTTCAAACTTTACTAAAACATAAAAAAAAGAGAATTTTAGAGTTTTTACCCTTGGAGAAATGTTTGTCTAGACTCCTCCTTTTCTCCTTCAACTTAAACTAGGATTTGTGGTGAGATTTATGGGAACTTTTGAGTGTGTGTGAGGTAAGGGATGGCTTGGTTTTGGTGAGGAAAAAGTTTAGAAAACTTGAGGGTTGGAGCTTTGGAGAACCTGTTTTGGATATGGAGAAGGAAGTGAGATAAAGCAAAAGTTAGGCTTAGATCACATTGGTTCTATTTATAGACCTCTAGGTTATTACCTCCTTTAGTCTACTTAACTAACAAAAATTTTGCTTAAACCCCTTGAAGATGGCCGGCCAAGTGAAGAGAAAAGTGAAGGAAGAAATGTCATGATTTACTTTCAATCATTACTATCACATCAATCCTCTAGCACACTCAACATTTAACCAAAATTTTTGGCTATAAATCCTTGAAGATGGCCGGCCAAGTGAAGAGAAAAATGAGAAAAAAAACTAATCATTAGTCCTATTCACCTCTCTCATCACATCTCATCAAATCACACACACTAACCTACCCCTTGTACTTTTGTCCATTCCCTTAAGTTACTCATTAAAACTGTCCAAAATCATACTGATAGTTATTTTCTCCTGTATACGGGTTCTGGATGCTAGGTTGTACTGTGCTGGGAGATTCTTAAAATTAAGATTCTCTAACTGTATCTATACTGGAAATTCTTCCGTTTTAAAGTACGGTGAGAATTTATCGATCGAATTTACTTGATCGGAAAAATGTGAACTTAACGTGAAATCTGCTACAGAATTTAGGAATGCAGATGTTAATTCCATAAATCATTCAATCACAAAATGTACATAGTATAATGATTTTCCAGGAAAATCCTTGACTCAAATACATGAATTACATTATTAAAATTCTGAGATTTTCTTAGTCACTACAAAAACTATAGTATTTTAGTGAAATCACATCTTGGATTCTTTGATAAACTTTTGTTAAAAATCACCACTGTGTTAGTTTTGTTCAGTTAAAACTGTTCAGTTTTTGAAATCTGGGTTTTACTGCATCTTAGATTCAGATTTTGAAAATCTGTTCTTCATGATAATTCTTCATCTAGTCGAGATCTAAAATTATCGGGTTCGGAGAAAACTGCAATTCAGCCTCTAAAGGGCTCGTTTGGCTGCCACAGTGGCTGCCAGTTTTTGGGACAGCTTTGAGGCATTTTTGAAAATGGCTTAAAACTGAGTTTATTCACAGTCATAGAAAAATGTTCAAAACATCGAGAACTATAAGTCTAAATTTAGAATAACTGAAAAATCATGCTCTAGGATCCTCATTTTTGCGTTCAAAGTAACTAGAAAAATTTTACCTCTAACCAAAATAAGCAAACTTATACCAAGCAGAAATATACCACATAATATTAATCAAACTAACCTTAAACAGATAAACCAATATAAAACTCACACACCCTTATTACAAACCATAGCCTTAAGGAATCACAAATTACATCCATAATCTCAAGCTTAAGATTGGCTAGAAAAACAATAGAGGAGAGTTCAAGAAATTACCCTTGAAGAACTCTCTCTTGAAACCCCTGAAGCCTACCTCTTCTCCAATTTTTTAAGCTAAGATTTGTGGTGAGAGATATGGAAACTTTTGGGTGTATGGCGACTAGAGGAAGGGTCGGTTTGGTAAGGGAGGGTGGAGAAAGGAGAAGAAAGAAGAATAGAGTAAAAGTGAGGCTTAGCTTATGATGGTTCCATTTATAGACAAGTTGATAATCATTTTTAACACCAAATCAACTCCCTTAATCAACTAAATTTTTAAGTTCAAATCCCTTAAGCATGGCCGGTCTAGGTGGGAGAAAGGAAAGGGTAAGTATGCCATAATTTCTCACCTACCACCATCACATCACATCTCATCCAACCAAAACTGAACTCACTCTTGTACTTTTGTCTCATCTCTTAAGTTTCTCTTAAACTGATAAAAATTATACTGACTGTAAGGAAGTATTTAGCCGACAGAAAATTTTAGTTTTTGACGGTTCCTTTTCTACTGTTTATTTACAGTTCAATATTAATCTCATACTACTTTAATATCATATTAAATTCTTACTCGCGTAATCTTCAAACTGTTTCGCGTAATAAGGGAGATATTTTTTAATTATTTTCATTTTCTCAATAAATCCTTGTTAGCCAACGAAACCGGTTAATTAGAAAAACGAATCTAATAAAACACATAAAAGGGTTGTACATAAATGTTTTATCATTTCCACCGACGATCTTTATCAAACAGGGTTCTGTTGGGAGTACCGGTAGTGCCAAATAAAGGGGTGTACCGGAGAACTCCCCTTTTTTTTTTTTTTTTTTTTTTTCTTATGAATGAATACAAATTTTGTTTCAATAGATTAATAAATAGATTTTTTCCCCCCTTAAATTAAAGATAGGATCAAATTCATTGATATAAATTCGCATGAACACAAAGAGTATAGGTAAATTCAACACATGGCACATAGGCTTACAAATCCAAAATGGACAGACACAAAAATGCAAAAACATTATAAAAACGCCTAAGCCAACAAAAATATGCTTATTATGATACGGGAAATCACAGGATCTAAAGACTAAACCCAACGGGAAAAAGATCCATCAAGGAAAAAGAGTGCATGATCCTGAGCTAAAACTTCTAATGGTACTTGAAATTCCTGCACAAACTAGGATCTCATCATAGGCAATGGCAGCAACAACCGACACTTGCACAAGCAACAAATCAACCAACGGCTGGGGCTGAATAACCTCCGAATCATCTAAAATAAATATTGTCTGAGAAAGGTGATAGGTACAAAACTTTGACGAAGATGACAAGTTGATCGAAGAACCCGATAAGTTATCCGCAACTTGATTACCTACATGAAACGAGATAAACAAAAAGTATTTTATTCAAAAAATTGACCAATAATAATCTTTGTAAACCCTGACATTCAAATTCTCTTTGCTCATAGATATATTCTTCAACCTTAGAATGCAAGAGGGAGAAAAGATTAATCTTTGTTAATAGCATCGTGGAAACTATATGGAGAACACTAACAGAATTTTACAAGGTTTGATGTAAGAGGGGGAAAAGGTTCTAAGCAATAAAAAGAACTAACCTCTGTCTGTTAATCTGCAAATTGTGATAAAATGATCACGAAATTAATTCGTAATAAAAAATGCAAATAATCTCTAATGCTGCTTTTTGATGGAAAGGAACAAGTTAGAGGTCTATGATGAACTAACCTCTCATTGTAGACTTGATATGACAATCAAGCAGGAGAAATTTTCGGCAGGAGACGGTCAAATCCTCAAAGACTGAAGCGATGGGAGGCTGTTTGTTAATGCATCTAGCAGCTGAGGTTCCAAATGCTCCAAATTATGAACAGTTAAAACCTTCAATTTGGAGAGATTTAACGAGTAAGAGGAGGAGGAAGATGCTGCAACACTCATAATCTTCAGTTCTAGTGGCTTGAAGCTTGTCCTATCTAGTTCCAGTGTTTCGAGATTTGGAAAGAGGGGCTCAGAATTTAGAACCGGGCAGTTGGATATTTCTAGTTCTGAAAGGACTGGAAAAGGCGGTTGTTGTTGTTGTTGCGGTTGATGCCCCGTTAGCGTTTGACCTCCTCTCCCCCACCATCCATGCAATATAGGGCATTCCATAATCTTGAGTGTTGTTAAGGATTGGAAGAAGGACATCGTTGAAGAAGATAAGTGGTCCCTGTCAGAAACATACTCTAGAGCTGACAAAAATTCAAGTTTAAGCTCCTGAAGAGAAGATAATTGGTGAAGTGGTGGCAGATATTTGAGTTTTGTACAAAAACTTAGTTCCAATCGAACAAGACTAGTAAGCAAAGAAAACCAATCTGGAAGTGTCTCACCCGGATAGTTCCATACTTGTATGGCCTTTATATCTTTGTGTGGCTCTAGGTTTTTTAATGCTGCTTCAGCATTCGCCACTCCTCTTATTTCCCAATTCAACGTTAAGGACTCAAGATGTTCCATGTCATTTAGGAATTGTGCATCCCCTGATTCACCAAGTCCCAAAATCTGAATGGTTAAATGTCCACGCAAGTTTTTAAGCCTGCTCAGTTCACCAAATCCACCCCTCTCATTTAAATTGTTCTCTGCCACTACTATAAACATATCTAACGTTTGAAGTGACGCCAATTGACCGATACCACGAGGCATATGTGTCAACTGCAAACAACCATCAATCTCGAGATGCCTCAAACTGATTAGATTCTGTATATCTGTAGGCAAACTAACAAGACTAGTACAAAAACAGAGGATTAGTGTTTGCAAATAATACAACTCTGTTATGGAACGTGGAAGCTCCTTGATGTAACGATTATGTGAGAGATCAAGGTATCTAAGATACTTTAGTCTACCAAATTTATTTGGCAAAGTCTCCACATCTCTTTCAATTCTGAGACTCAATGCCCGTAGGTACTTAAACTTTGACAGGATCTCATCATAATGTGATGAACTCAAATTCTTTGACTGAGGTATAATGAATGTGCGCACCTTTTTTTCATTGAACATTGCTGAAATTCGGAACGAGTCATCAGATTTGAATTCAACATATATATGACGAACTCTTTTAAAAGCATTTCTTGCATTTCTACCTAACCTGATACTACTAGTATATTGATCAACTAGATTTTCATCTAATATGTTTGTGCTCTTACCTGCCACTAAACACGCAAGATCATGCATAAAATGATGCATTTTACACGACCTTATAGACCTTGACGGCAACTCATCTGTTTCAGCTTGTTGGAAAAAGTACCTCCGAAATAAAATCATAAAATTCTTATATCCAATTTCTTCTAGTTGCGTACTATTGCTATTAGGAATAATAAATCCTTGTGCTATCCAAAGTTTTATTAGTTGCCCTACATTGATCTCATGATCCTTTGGAAATAAGCTACAGTAAGAAAAACAATGTTTCAAGTCTGGTTGGAGATTATTGTAACTTAGCTTAAGAATAGCCATCATATTCTCACTTTGATCTTCAAAATCTACTTCTGCTAGTTTAGTGTCCCTAAATGACTTCCACTCACTTTCAAGGTTTTGAGAGGTATATTGCCTTGATTTTAATAGCGTCCCTATTGCCTTTATAGCAAGAGGAACTCCTTGACACTTGGCCACAATTTCCTTTCCTATCTTTACAAGGCGGGGGTACACAGTTGGCTCATAACTTTGTTGCACAAATGCTTCTCTCTCAAATAAAGCCCAAGACCTGTTTTCGTCCAAACGACCTAAACTATATATTCTAGTTGAATGTGTTGTCATTTGGGCAACAATTTCACTCCTAGTAGTAATTAATAGTTTGCTACCCTCTGCACCTACGTTTAAGAATGTTTTTAGCGAATCCCATTGACCACTATCCTCATTCCAAACATTATCTAAGACAAGGAGGTATTTCTTTCCTTGTATTTCTTTCCTAAGATGATTTTGCAATTGCTCGTTATCGAGGTTTGGTTCTGGACTTTTACCAGTTACGGATCTAATAATTTTTTGAAGAAGTAATTTCAAATCGAAAATGGAAACAGAAACCCAGAAAGTATTGTTGTCAAAATACTCTTTAACCCTCTTATCATTGAATACAAACTTAGCTAGTGTGGTTTTCCCTAATCCTCCAAAACCAACTATGGAAACAACGGACACATTTTCTTCCCCTTCAATGTTATTGTCTAGTAAATGTTCTAGTACGTTTTGTTTATCAGTAACCCTTCCAATAACTTGGTCAGAACTTAGATATGAATCAGACTCCCCCCATCCCTCTGTAGAGGCCGAAACACCCCCCACTTCAAGGCGCTCAAGACGCAAGAGAAAATCCCTATTTCCTTTAATATCAGCTAAAGTCTCTCTAATTTGTGTAATTTTATTAGATATTTTCCATCTAAAGAGCGGGTTTAAATTGCGTACCTTTGCTTTGATCTGACCAGGAACCACTTCGTCCTGTAGTTTTTTGTAGAAAACTTTGTTCACCAAGTTATCAGCGTCATAGATAACATCTTCAAGACTGTCGAGCCACACTCGGGCTTGGTCGTTGGTATCTTGCTTCTTCTCTGCATCAAGAACTACACGTTCGATTAAGCTGATGGTGTCCTCAAGTTTGCGGAGCTCCTTCTCAAACCACAATGGCAGCCTTATTTTTTTCAAAGGTTCAGAAGCCACGTTTGCGACGAATCCTGTAAGAATGGCTAATAATGCTGCTTCGGCCATTGTTATTAGTTGTTGATATGGAAGGTGAATAGGGAAGCGAAACTTGATAAAACGATGAAATTGGAAATGTAATTGATGGAGAGTTTTAGAGCAATATATCAAAGGCAAAGATTATGGTCAATGCAGTGTGATGGTGTGAGAAGGAAAGAGCGAACTATTGCCGCTATTTATAAGAACCTAAGCGATGTATATATTGGGCTACGTAGATTTAAATTTTTAATGATATATAATTTATGTGAGAATTTTTTATTATAATAAAAATTAAATAAAATTATTTTTAAAATTTTTTTATTATAATAAAATTTAAATTTTAAACTCAAATCAATAAAATAAACATATTATTATAGCCATTTGCTAATCAACTATTAACTTTATTTTTTATTTGCATACTCCCGTTGCTTTTTTTTATTTATAAAATAAATTAAAAAATATACATGTCCACTCAGTAATATTTATTCAGTAACTTATTAGTAGTCACTAGCCGTTGGCTTCTTCAGCTGGATTTTTGTCATTGACATCTCCTAATATTTTAATTTAAAGCTTATAAACTATCTTAATTAGTGAACAACATCATGACATTTAACTTTACTGATCACCTAAGCACTATTTAACTTTATTTAACGTCTATTTATAGTAGTAGTATTAATAATAATAATAATAATAATGATATAAGAAAATAAAAAAATATATAGACGTTACTGATCACTCAAATACTATTCAACTTTATTTTTTTATTTACTAGATAAGTTCAAGTGTTGATTAGATTTTTTTTTTTTTTTTTTTTTAAATTTAAGTGAAAGAGGTCACCAGCTGGTTGATTCTCCAACTATTTTATTTTACTTTATTTTATTTTATTTATGAGAGTAGAGTTGCCGTTGGAATTTCGCACTAATCAATCTAATTATCGGTTCATATACAAGTACGAGAATACCTATCCGTTTGTTCGCTGATTCCCATTTCTTTATTTATCATGAATTATTATAAAAGTAACCCCTAAAATTAATCTAATTATTTTAATGGGAACTAGCCGTCGGCTTCTTCAGCTTAAAAAAAAAATGCTGCCATAAAGTTCCACCACTCAATGCTGCCATAAAATGCAGCCATAAAGTGCCGTAAATATATGACAGTATCCAAGTGAATCCTATATATTTTTATCAATCAACATTAATTTTTTTTCTTTATTTAAGTTTTACTAAAGGATGTTTTCTACAGTAGGGTGTTGAACGAAATGCTTGCAGTTGTCAATATCAACGTACAAGATAAGTCGTCGAACCTTCTGGCGTCTCTTTAAAAAGTATTTATGGGATGTTTGTTTTAAATGTTCATTTATAGTTTGCTTACTTGCACTTAATACTTAATAGATTGATTGTAAATAGATGAATGATGTGGAGATCGAGAAATTAATACCGATCATAATTATTTTTGTAATTAATTTTACATTATAAATAGTTTTACTAATTATAATTTTAAAACTATATGTTAAATGGTTATATGGATTATGAACGTAAGTAAGCAAGACTTAAAAATTAAGTATATACATATAGATATATTTATATGTTTTGAGAAACAAATATGTTAATCAAAAAAGTAATTCGTAATTTATGTCTACTATAAGAGTTATTAAAAAATTATTTGCATAAAAGCCTGTTCTTTTATTTAGTCGTTGGAGAGAGAAAAAAATTATTAAAAAAAAAAAGAGTGTTAGCCCTATGCTAATCAGCCAATCAAACATAACTCTATTTTTTATTTGCATAAAAGCCTGTTCTTTTATTTATTTATTTATTTATAAAAAAACTCCTTTGTAACTTGTAAGTGGTCAGTGATCACTAGCCGTTGGATTCTTTAGCCATTTGTCTTAAGGAAGAAACCGTTGGCATTTCCCACTGTTTTAATCTGATTATACATTAATTAGTGATGACCATGTGACTTATGTCTGCTACTGCCCATATCCTAACTTTTATTTATAAAGTAAGAGAAAAGTATGAATTCCTATCCGTTATGTTGGCTAATTCCCATTTATTTATTTAGTTTGGATAATATAAAGTCGACCCTTGTCATTTCAATTTCGTGCTAGTATATAACAAATATTTTACCGGTAGGATACTCTTTATCAGATTTTGTTAATTTTATATAAGATTGATCGTTTAATTAAATATCAAATCACGTGGTTATTGAAGTCACATATTTAAATTAAATAGTGATGAGGCGAACATTTTTTTAGCTAAAGAAGCCAGCGGCTAGTTTGCATTTAAATAATTGAAATGACAAGGGTCATCTTTATATTATTCAAAATAAATTAATAAATAAATGGGAATGAGCCAATAGGTATTTATATTTTTTTTTATCTTATCTTAAAAATAAAAATTAGAATATGGCAGTAGCAGACATAAATCACATGGTAGTACCTACCCTCTGAGTGCCATAATCAAGGCTCTTCTACCCCAAAAAAAAAAAAAAAAAAAAATCAGGTTACCAAAAAATTTGATTTGGCCACCGGATCTTTATGTTTTTGTTTGATGATAAAACTGCCCTTCTTTCGTGTTTTTAAGAGACAAATTTTTTTTATTTCTATTTAATGGTTTTTTTAAATATATTTGAAAAAAAAATTTCAAAAAATGTTTCAAGGTATAAAAATGTATTTTTTAAAACGTTGAGATATCTACTTAAAATTTTAAAAAACATAAGATATTAAATTTATATTTCGGTAAAAGGCCGAGTATTAAAATAATTTTTCTATAAAATAAAATAAAATAAAAAGAATGGCTGAAGATTAGTGGATAGGTATTATTTTATATAAACAAATGAGATAGCGGTTAGTTGGTGATTAGTATATACGGCTCCACTTTTGAAATTTTATTTTATTTTCCTATCTGAAGTCACATTGCTTATTCTTTTAGGTTTTTTATTTTATTTTTTTTATTATAAATAGTAAGAATAACTCCTTTTCACTTCCCACACTGCAACCATACAATCTTTGCGTTATCAAGCCCTCAAAAACACTCTGTTCTAATTTTCTCTGTTTTTGCTTTCTCTTTCCTTTACGCCTTCCATAAAAACAACTAATGGCTGAAGGAGTACTCTTCAACGTTATTCAACCAATCATTGAAAACTTGGCTTCTGAACCTCTCGAAAAAATCAGACTGCCATTGTGGTATAATGGCGAGCTCCGCAAACTAAAGGGCACCATCACCATGATCAAAGCTGTGATTCTTGATGCAGAGGAGAAGAAAGAAACCAACAACCAATTCAAAGTGTGGCTTGAAAGTCTCGAAGATGATATCTACGATGCTGACAACTTGGTTGACGAGTTTCGTTACCAACAACTACGCCGCAAAGTGCTTTTCGGTAAGAAAAGGGCGAAGAAGGTACGCATTTTCTTCTCGAGATCAAAACAACTTGCTTTTAGAGTGAAAATGGCTAACAAAATTAAACAAATTAGAGAGAAATTAGATGAAATCAAAGGCAATCAGGTATTTTCTCAATTAGATAAGTGCGAACATGGAGAGACACGTCTTGTCTCCTCTATAACAAGTGGGAGGGAGACTCACTCATTTGTAATTAATGATCATGTTATTGGGAGAGATAATGATAAAAAAGAGATACTAGATTTTTTATTAGGCAACAATCTTGAGGCTAAAGAAAGTGTGACCACTGTTTCCTTAGTTGGAATTGGCGGATTAGGGAAAACCACACTAGCTCAGTTAGTTTACAATGATGAATTAGTCAAAAGGAATTTTTGGTTAACAATATGGGTTTGTGTTTCTGATGTTTTTGATTTGAAGTTACTTATTCAAAAAATTATTAGATCCGTGGATAATGCTAGCCCAGATCAAAACCTGGACTTGGACCAGCTCCAAAATCAGCTTAGACAAAAAATACAAGATAAAAGATACCTTCTAGTATTAGATGATGTCTGGAATGAGGATATTAATAAATGGCATAGGCTAAAAGAATGCATAATGCCAGGTGCAAAGGGCAGCAAAGTATTAATAACTACTAGGAGTATAAAAGTTGCTCAGATTGTTCATTCGACTAAAACTCATATGTTAAGTGGTTTGGACAAAGACAAATCTTGGGCATTACTTGAGAGAGTGGCATTTGATGAGGAAATCAATGAGCCAACTACTCAGTACCAACGCCTTGTAGAAATAGGAAAGGATATTGTGGGTAAGTGTGGAGGAGTTCCTATTGCTATAGAGACAATAGGGAGAATTTTGCAAATAAAGAAGAATTCCTCGCAAAACTTTGAATCGGAGTGGATCAAATTTAGGGACATGAAACTTGCAGAGGTAGATTATCAATATGGTAGTGGCATCCTATCTACGCTTATGTTAAGTTACAATAATATCCCTTCACACTTGAAGCATTGTTTTGCTTATTGTAGCTTATTTCCAAAGGATCATAGGATCAATGTACAACAATTAATAAAACTTTGGATAGCACAAGGGTTTATTAAACATGTTGGGAGTAATAGTCAGCTAGAAGATATTGGTTATGAGTATTTTATGATCTTATTCTCGATGTGCTTTTTCCAAGAAGCTGAAATTGACGAGTTGTCAAGAGCTATAAAGTATTGTAAAATGCACGATCTCATGCATGATCTTGCAAGTCTAGTGGCTGGTAAGAGCATACAAATATTTTATGTCAATACTAGTAATATTGAGTTAGCAGAAAATGGTTTTGAAAAAGTTTGCCATATATCTGTAGATTTTGCAAATAATAATAGCTCATGCCAAATTCCAAAACTCTTGTTTGAAGAAAAACAGATGCGCACATTTATTTTACCTGAGTCAAAAATATTAAGTTCATTATACTGTGATGATATTGTGTCAAACTTTAGGTTCCTACGGGCATTGAGTCTCAGAATAGAAAGAAACGTGGAGACTTTGCCAAATGGGTTGGGTAAACTAAAGCATTTGAGATATCTTAATCTCTCAAATAATCCTCATATCAAGGAGCTTCCGAATTCCATAACAGAGTTGTATAATTTGCAAACATTAATCCTATCTTCTTGTAGTAGTCTTTTAAGTTTGCCTCCAGGTATACGAAATCTAATCAATTTGAGGCATCTTGAGATTAGAGGCTGTGGGAAGTTGACTCATATGCCATGTGGAATTGGTGAATTGATGTTGCTTCAAACATTAGATATGTTTGTAGTGGCAGGCAACGTATCAAGTGAAAGTGCTGGATTTGATGAACTGAGCAAGCTCTACAACTTGCATGGAGGTTTAACCATTCACATTAGGGGACTTGGTGAATTAGAGGCTGCAAAATATTTAAAGGAGAAGAAGCATCTTGAGTCCTTAGTCTTGAGTTGGGAACTGGAAGAAACGATGGGGGATGATGCTAAAGTAGCATTTGAATGCTTAGAGCCACCTCAAAATATAAAATCCATACAAGTGTTAAACTATCCGGGTGAGAAATTTCCTAATTATCTTTCTTCGCTCACTATTCTTGCTCGATTGGAACTTAGTGGTTGTGAAAAATGCAAATATTTGCCACCTCTGCACCATTTGTCTTCTCTGCAGGAACTTAAACTGAATTCTTTGTCAGCTCTGGAGTATGTTTCAGAGAGGGATATGGAGTGGATCAAAGAATGCTTCCCATCCTTAACAACACTTGTGATTAGTGAATGCGTTAAAATGAAGGGATGGTGGGGGAGAGAAGGAAAAGATTTTGGTGAAGTGCTAACAGAGCATCAACAACCTTCTTTTCCTATTCTTTCAAAACTTATAATAGTCAATTGTCCTCTTCTAACTTCCATGCCCTTGTTTCCCAATCTCCAATACCTGAAACTGCATAACACAAGCTCCAAGCCATTCGAGATAGATACTACTGTTGCAGCAACATCATCAACATTTTCCTTCTCCTCCTCACCTTCCCCTCTTTCCAAATTGAAGCATTTAGATATTCAGTTCATTCACGATTTGGAAAACCTGCTACCAAAGGCAACGCACGAACTCCCATTGCTTCAGTCTCTGAGTATCAATAACTGTTCAAAGTTGGCATCCCTTCCAGAAGGAATAAGCAATCTCAAATCTCTTCAGAACCTAGCAATTTTGAATTGCGAGAATTTGAGCTCACTTCCAGAAGGGATAGGCGGCCTCCCGTCGCTTACACATCTTACAATTGTTGGATGTAACAATTTGAAATCGATTCCTAAAGGGATAGGTAGTCTCCAGTCGATTACATATATTACAATTGTAGGATGCAGCAATTTGACCAAGATTCCTAATGAGATAGGAAGCCTTACATCTCTAGAATATGTGAATGGTCAAAATTTCATTGAATTACCAAAGGACTCATTGGCTGACTACCTCCTGCGGCAAAACTCTCCAGCTTGATTCAATGCCATATGAACTCTAATGCTCCACTGCTTGTTTGGGGTTAGTTTATCATATACCTCTTTCTATTAAAAAGCAACATTTGAGAAAATTTGTGTTTTACATCAATTTTTCAGGAGGACAATGAAATATTTTCAAAATTAAATTACTTACGTCACTCATTTTTTCCTGTAATTATTAGTTAATATATATCATGCTGTCTTGAGCTTTGTAGTTCCTCAACATTTATATTTCGTCTGTCATATGAAACGATAACTTATCGTCTTTAGTTTCTCTTCCTTCAGAAATCCAAGTTCAGCTAGCTAGTTGTGGTGGAGTTTTCTATAACTACTCTTTGGTTACAACTCTCGAGGAGAGGTGATCAGCTAGTTGGTCTTCTGTGTTTCATGGTAGCTGTACAAATCAGAGGTCAGTCATAAGCTAGCAGCTTCTCTACAGCTCTCTACAGTTCTAGAGTTCAATCATAAATCTTTATTGTTATTTTTTTG